AGCGTGACCGCTTGTCTCCGTAATCCTTTTTTTCTTTCTTTCTTGCTTTCTTTTTTTTCTTTCTTTCTTTTTTTTCTTTTTTCTTTTTTCTTTTTTCTTTTTTCTTTTTTCTTTTTTCTTTTTTCTTTTTTCTTTTTTCTTTTTCTCCGGTCAAACCAACCACGAAATGAATACAATAATAGTGCAACATGGCTAATCTCTAAAGGTATGAATCTGTCATCTACATGTACAAGATGTCACTGGGGGTGGAAAGTGGTTTAATAATGGGACGCTGGACCCGGTTTCCAGCATGAGGATTTTACAGATGGAGAAGTTAGTTTGGTTGTCGAGCTTGGCTCGTAAGCGAAACTGGCTGAGGCTGCCAGGATAACTCCAGGGGCTAGGTCCCACTTACACGAATTAAGCGATATTGACCGTAGATAGCAAAGATCAACGGCCAGAATCTCTTAATCCGTGCAAGTGGGACCTTTCCCCAGGTTGAATTGTGAGGTCCCCGGCCTTGTCCCAATGTTTTGTAATAAACTGCTAATGCTTTCCAAAAAAAAAAAAAAAAAAAACAATAATAGTGCGCTGAAATTGTCCGAATAAGGAGGGGAATGCAGTCCAGGTCAACTTGGACATACACTAGGAACTTCGCCAATCCTGCTCTTCCGAGTCTTGCCCCCCCCCCCCACGGGTAGGTCCCACTTGCACGAATTGAGAGATAGAGACCGTAGATGGTCGAGATCAACGGCCGAAATCTCCTAATCCGTGCAAGGGGGACCTTGCTCCAGGACAGGTGGAAAGAGGACCAAATTTCCTTTTGAACCCTTAGCAAAATTTCCTATTGCCCTTTGAGGATTTGAAAGGGAGTGTCTAACCGTGTCCACATTCTTTTTTTCTTTCTTTCTTTTTTTTTTTCCCGCGTTCTCATTTCGTACATTTGGTGAGTAGTGCGGCGGGGCCCTACGTTGACAAGAGTAGCCCGGGGCTAGGTCCCACTTGCACGAATTATGAGATACTGACCGTAGATAGCAGAGATCAACGGCCAAAATCTCCTGATTTGAGCAAGTGGGACCTTGCCCCCGGCCTCCCTCACGACATCCCCACGGGTGGGGCAAGGCAGTTTCGGGCAAACCCATCCCCGGCCACAGACCCCACCCCAGCAAAAGTGCAAGCACGAATCCCATCAACCAATCACAAGCAGCTCCAGTCCTGCAGTCCAGGCTCTATCCAGACTCTGGGCATCCTAAGGTTACACTTGCACTAGGACGTATAATCCCAAATTCACCAAAAGTCCTGAATGTACTATTGAACTATTCATGTATCCATTTGTCAGCGGCCTGGGTAGCCGTGTGACGCGCACCTCACGCCCTGTGCTGTCTTCCGTTCGGAGTGTTAGCTGTGCGGAAAAGAGGCCCAGAAAAACAGCAAGATGGGGTGTGCCAAGGATTTTTGGAAATTGAGTGTGGGGACACAGACGAAACTGAAATCCCCCGTGTTGGTCCGATGGAGCAAGTCAACCATTTTCGCGCGTCGCGGAATGCGCGCGCGGGCAAGGCGGGAAGAGAGGGAAAGATTCAATCCAAAAAGTATTGCCGTGCTTTCCACCGGGCTACAGCCCGTCGTTTAGAACAGAAAGGCTTGGGCACTCTTCGCGTGTCCCATTTTCGTATCAAGTCTCGTCGTCGTTCGCTGGTTAGTTCCGAGTCTGACGTGGAGGGTCTCAGTAGCGTGGCTCTTTCTTTATGCTCGTCTTCACTCCGCACACGGTAGTGGAAACCCCTGGACTCGTAGCGCTCAAAACGCTGACATTCGATGCACAGAGTGCGCGGCCAGTGGGGTCCTACTGCCGTCCACGGAATGACGATCAACTCGTTAAATGGCAACAATACCGAGTAAGGTGGGAAGTGCGTATCGATAATAACAAACCCGGCTTCTACGAACCCAGAACAGCGGTTGGCCGGAGGGAAGTAATACTGCCCGGCGATTTGTGCAACGGCTTCTCGTACGTCCCACTCACATACACGTGTCCTTTCCTCACTGTAAGGAAAAGGTCGCGTTGGGATAGGAGATGCGTGAGGCTAGCGCTAAATCGAAGGGTACTTGTCAGTTCACATGTCCATCAATCACAAAATATCCCGAGACGTCATTAAGAGCAAAAGCGATTCGCACGTCTCCCAATCAATCTTTTTGTCATAAGAGAGAGAGAGCAAACACAGATCAGCTTGATCACGCATATGGCTACGACTCCGATCAATTCAACACAACATTGGTCCCTGGGCGTCTTGTTTCTCAGGGCCGCCTCGTGGCTCGGCTGCTGATGTCGCGCAACATAAGGCAGATGGCGGGCGCAGTGCAAACAGAGCTACAAATCTAAACAATCTTGCATTCTCGAACAAAATCCCGACGACATTCGTCTAATCAACAAAAGAGTCACACATTTCATACATGCATTCACTATGGAAGGTGCGAAAATGAGAC